CCTCATCACTATTTCCTTTGGAATTTTTCTTACCTATCCCCGTTTACTTTTTCTTCCAGATGAGCTATTAGAATCATCTTGTCATTTCCCAAGACACAACTATTAGAATTTTGATTCACCCCCTTACACCCTGATGACAGATGTTAATTGAGAATTGATATGAAGGAGCTAATAAATGTTGACCAAATAACAATGGCAGCAACATTTGTAACTGTATATTTCCTTATATTTGCAAGTGCTTTAAATGTTTAAAAGGGTATCTCCTTTCATATTGTCCATGAAGGAGTTTCAGAATGCTTGAACACAAGACAATTAAGGCAGGTGTAAAGAAGGGAAAAATCTCTTCAGTGTAAATCAGGAGAAGAGGCTGGTTGAGTACAAATAGGATTCAGAATCTCTTTAATTTAAATCAGAAAATTAGAAGTTATAGAAGAGGTTAAGACAGAAATTTGGAAAGGGGATATATGGGCTAGAGAGTCTCACATTCTAAAATGAGGCTCAGCATATAAACAGGCATCAAGTGGCAGCTCAGTGAAGTGCATCCCGGGTCCTGGGTTCATGTTGCAAGGATCCAAGATTGCAGCTCTGCACGTGCGTTGGAAAACTGCCTTCTGCAGCTGTGGGAAGATAAGAACATTTGGGCACAATAAAGTAAATCAACCCATACTATTTAAAAATGGAGTTAAATATAAATTTCTGTGTTTCCTTATGCTACTGGGAAAATTAAGAGATTTTCATTAGAAACTATTAAGATAATATAATTAAGTTTGTAAACAGAGTTTGAATGTTTAAGTGAATTTGACTTACTACATCTATAGTATTTGATTTAATATATTTATTACTTTTTGATGAATTTAGTAAGATTTTGTTTGTTAAATTTATAACTCTATTCTGTGAGGCAACTGAAATGCCTGAGAGGATCCAACATTAAATTTGGAAGTTGTTGTTTAATGTTTAAGGAAATTTAGTTAAGTCAAATTATATAAAGAGTTATTTGTTTAAGGGAACATAATCCTTTAAATTTACAAATTAATGCAACATTAGTTCAAGTATGAAAGAAGATGATTATTCTTATTTTTATATATAATATGCTTTTACATATACTTTTGAACATATATACTTATGAATAAAATAACCTTATTTATAGATTGATTTCAAGCTTACATTTTTAAAATTTAAATTTAAATGAATACTGATTCGGACACATGTCAATGTCTGTGCATCTTTCCATGCTCCAAAGTCTATCTTGGACATTAAAAGTCAGTTGGTAGTAAGATAACCAACTCATTCTGGTTTTCTCCGGGCTATTTCAGTTTCAAAACTGAAAGTCCCACATCCCAAGAAACTTGGTAAATTGGGACTGTGGGTCACCGCTATTGGCAGACGATCCTCTGACCTTCGCAACAGCCTTGTGGCAACAGGGTGTGAAGTCTGCGTGCAGGGTTAATATTCTCATCAACTGAGGCAGCAACTGGGCTCAGAGAAGTTAACGTGGCTTGGCCAAGTCCATGGATTGGATTATATTTATCTTCCTTCCTCACACCCTTTTTCCACTTAATTTGATTGGCTGATTTATTTCTGGGGTCTTCACCCCCCTAATTCCCCCATAGAGAACTTAGTTTCTTCCTTTGAGAATGAATGAAATCTGTTTTCACCAGGAAGGGCCTTGGCCGAGGATTAACCTCAGCAGTGATCTCTTCAGATTCCTTCGCAGAGACTTCCTGGGGGGTTGCCTTAGCCTTTGCAAGACAGGGAGAAATGGAAGTTATGAAGATGTTTGGGGCATGGATTACAGTGCATTTTTATCATTTTGCTAATTATTTAAAATACGTTACTACTTAGAATTCCCTTTTTAATAACAGCTTTATTGAGATATAATTCATATACCATCAATTCACTCAGTTAAAGTATATAATTCAATGATTTTTAGTATATTCACAGAGGTCTACAACTGTCACTGCAGTCAATTTTATAATATTTTCCTCACCCCAAAAAGAAACTCCATACCCATTCAGAGTCACTCTCCATTTCCCTCCACCCAGCCCCAGGCATCTTGAATCTGCTTTCTATCTTTATAGATTTACCTCCTCTGGACATTTTATACAAACGGAACCATGCAACATATGATCTGCCGTGTCCAGCTTCTTTCACTCAGCGTAATGTTTTTAAGGTTTAGCCATGTTATGATGTGTATCAGTACTTCATTCCTTCTTATGGTCAAATAATGTTCCACCGTGTGGATATATCACATTTTATTTATCCTTTCATCAGTCGATGAGCTTTTGGATTGTTTATACTTTTTGGCTATTATGAAGAATGCTGTTATGAACACTCAAGTACAAGTCCGTGTGTAGGTATATACTTTCATTTCTCTTGGTTATATGGCTAGAAGTGGAATTGCTGGGTCATATGGTAACTCTATGTTTAATCTTTTGAGGAACTGCCAGACTGTTTCCAAAGAGGTCGCCCCATTTTAAATTGCCATCAGTGGTGCACAGGGGTCCAATTTCTCTACATCCTTCCTAACACTTGTTATTAAGAGTTATCTTGATATGAAAACATTATTCATTATGTGATAGAAATGAATACATGTTATTTGTGTATATACTTTTATATAATATACTTTATATTATAAAAATATTTTATAATTTATAGTTTATAAAAATACTTCATATATTGTATAATATATATATTTTATATATTACACAAAATAATTATAAATACTTTGAGTTTATATGTACATTCTTAGTGACTGGAAATCCAGAAAACAAAATGTGACCCTAGACTGAAATGCCATTAAAGAAGAGGGGCATTTCATTAAGACAATTGCTTAAGAAAGTTGGAGGAGGATGGGGTGGGACTGGGGGGGGGGGAATTTTATCTACTTGAATGACAGCACTGTTACAACAAGAACATTAAATGTGGGAAATATTTCGTGAACTTTTGTGATATGAAAATATTTTTCACCTGGGAAAGAGTTAAGCCCAGGAAGAGCCATGAAAATGTTTTCCAAGATTGGGGAGAAAATTCATAGTTTTACTCACAAGTTCTGTACAGCAGATTTGCTGAGTACTTTAAACCCAAAATGAGTGGAAATTTGTTTTTCTTAGGACTGGACACTAGATGTCTCAGTTACATTGAATGTGCAATAAGAAAAGGGGAATTTATAGAAAAGATTGGCACAAAAATGTGAGCTATGTGATCTTGTATATGATGTAGCTTTTTAATTCGGGTATTCTAATTTAATCTCAATTAAACTTTCTTTGAAACCAGGCTATAGATAGCTATTATCTTTAAAATTCTTAAGTAAAAACTCAGTGAAGTATCAGCAATGTTCTTAACTTCCTGGATGAAGAAATAAAAAGAAAGATATTTGGAGATTTGTTAAATGACTTAGATGAAACTGGAATTAGAAATCAGGCTAGAATTCAGAAATTATCAGCTCCCTATATTGTTTTCTAGAAAGCAAGTATTCCCACTGAGTGATTTACAAGATTTTTGTTAATCTAAAAATAGAAAGTGCTCCAGATGAGACAGATCTATTTAACGGAAGTATGGTGTGCAGAGAGAGGCATTGGATTAGGAGCCCAAAGGCATGATTTTTTTAATACTGAAACCACTGCTTTTATGCTCCCAGATGCCCTTCAAACTCCCTCCATCTGGGTCTTGTTTTCCTCCAGCCTCTAGGCGGAGTTCAACATTCTTCTCTTGGAGGAAGAGCTCAAGAACCAGTGGAATTCTCACAGCCACCATACAAAGGATAATTCTCATTACAATTTTTTTCTTCTTGGTAATGAAAAGGAAAATAAATGCATATCTATTAAACTATAAGATGTTTGTTTGTGTGCCCCTGAAATTATCGTGGGGGCCTCTGGTGTGTACATACTCTGTTCTTGGGGGGCGTGGGCCTCTGACTACTGAGCCATATGCAGAGACAAGGAGAAAGGGCGAGAGTGGAAGCAGAACATGGACGAGGGGAGAAAAGAGGCCAACAGAGCACATGACAGTGACAACGACCCAGCACACATCTGCTCTTTCACCCTGTTGGTCCCATGCACTCCTAGTCCCACCCTGGGAGAGAGGGAAACGAGTGGCACCCTGTGGAACTAGAGTGATCCCGGGGGTGGGTTACTTACAACAAGTACAACTCACTCTCTGCTCCTCTGGCCCTGCCCACTTCCTTCCCACTGATACACATACACAGATCCTCATCTCTCTCTAATACACACACACACACACTCCCTGCATCCAGGGTAGACTTGGTCCTGCCTCCACAACTGTGGAGAAAGGGTGGAAATAAAAGGCCAATTGTTAGTACATGAGCCTCTTAGGTGACATTTTTGGTACTTCCTGGGAAGTCACCCCATGCCCTCAACCTCTGGCCCTCCCAGGGTCACTGGTCACCCCCACGCGCCTTCCTCACAGGGCCATTTATCCAGGCTTATGTGGGTGTGCTCTGGAGGTGGCGCTAGCAAGGGAAGTTGAAGGGTGCTCAGCTCTGTTCCCAGCCTGCTGAGTTTCACTGAGAAGGAACAAATAATGACTGTTCTGCGAGGCCACACAATGAGCTGCTTTCTCCCTGAGCCGTGACCTCTACCCAGGAAGAGGCCGAGCACACTTATCAAGTCTCTGCATTTGCTGGAGAGAATCTGTGGTAAACAGAGCAAGAAGGCGCTCATTGTCACCAAGGGCCTCCAGAAGCTGCCAGAGCTTTTCACACAGAGCCTTTGGTTGCCTCGTCACTGTCTGTCATCCAATTTTACTGTAGAAATGGATTATTTAAAGTTAAAAAATAATTTATTTAGTTGAATTGGGATTGGCCTGGATGATCACCATTGACTACCAATGTGGCCATGCTATGGCAAACATGTTGGTGGCTCACCCAATTCATGTCTTCTCCATTCGTGCTCAAAGACCCCTGATTTTGTATAGTTATTTGGTGACCATCAGCCCAGTCCCAGGGATAACCCTTACGGTGGCCATCTCTTTCCTCTTTGCAGGGATTGGTCTAAACTGTGGACTGCTGAGGGCCTTTGAGGCAGGGAGAAAGTCCTGCTGTGCTGCACTTTCTCCTTGGTTTTGGGCTTTTGTGGAGACCTGCTGCTTGGACCGGTTTTGGCTGTCTTCTGACTGTGAAGGTGGATATTATAGAGAGAGTTGACATATGTAAATAAAGGCTTGAGTCCTTGTCGATGCAACTGAGTTTCAGAATCGCCTATTTGGGACATCTTGGTAGGTTGGCTTTTCTGCGGATTGAAGTCCAAAGAATCTAACTGATAGACATACTTTTTCCCTAACTCATCTAACATGAGCAGGCACAAAGCAAACCCTTCAGCAAAGAATTGATAAACACTCTGGTTTTGTTATGGCTTAAAGCGAGATTCTGGACCCCGGAGGATTTCTGAGGAGTTTGACTGTGCAGTCACATGACAGAGGAACTGGAAACTAACTTGAACAAAAGGTAGCAGGCTGGACGGCCAAGGAATCTCCTTTTCTGTCAAGACAACAAGCTGCTTACCTCAGAATCAGCTGCTTCTTTGTTTAGTTCTTTTTCTCTTCCTGAAGGATTTGGAACTGAGATCCATCCATCCATCCAGCAAATATCTATCACACCCCCTGTATGTGAGCATTTACCTATGTGGCGGTAATGGGGACCCTGGGTTCCCCTCAACCGGGTGCTATGTGCACTGTAACAACTGTGGCAGTGCTGTGGGCTGTGGGCTGTGGGCTCTTTTGTCAACAGCCTCCTGCTCCCAAAGCTGGGCCCTTCTAAAGATGGTGTCAGAGAGAGCCCTTGAGGAACTCAGCCTAGCAAAGAGTTATCCAGTGACAACCAAGCAGAGCCACTGCGTCGGGTGTGAAAAGACATGCTGCCAGCGTACTATGGGTGCTATCGCACTGAAACGTGCAGAATGGGTGTCACGGCATGGAAGAAAGTCTCTGAGCAGAGACTTAAGAAATGCAGCCTCACCAACAGTCACTTGACAGATGAGGACACAGACCCAGAGAGGACAAGTCGCTCATCTTACATGTGTTAACCCATCAAGCTGTACACTTAAGACTTACACACTTTACTCTTGGGTATGTTTTATTTCAGTTAAAAAAAGCAAACAGGAACAAAAGAAAAAATGACCCTTGATATTTTTTGCCATCACTGAGAAAAAGGAATAAAGGCAGAACTTTGAATAAAGAGAAAATCAATGATACTTTACATGTTTTAAATTAGTCATTATGAGAATGGTCTAATTAATTTATCATCCCTCTCCTGCTAGAAGCTCTTCTAAATCTTACATTGAAGTTTCAACTTCGGTTTCAATGAGATGCTTCTAAACTTGTGATGATGTGTAATAGGGGTGCCGGGATCTTCGTGTTGATCTTAGAGTTCAGAGTCATGTCCTGAAGTTGTTGGTTCCCACTCTGGGGTCAGGAGTGGTCACAAAGATTCTGAAGAGTCTAGATGTTTGTAAGATGACAAGCTCTCGGTGACCTTTTGAGCCTCAGCAGTTTGCCTTGGCCAGTTAGGTTTATCTCAGATCAACCTCGATATAAGGAACCCTGAGGGTATCAGATGTCAGCACTTGCTCAGAGAACGAACGCCTACCTCATCTCTCCCACCCCCGGAGGGACAGGAGTGCATTCTAATCTGCACAAGGGGAGTTTGTAGGCTCACTGAAGGCCTGGGGTGGAATGAACTTCCAGTATGTCTGGGTTCAGGGCTCAAACAATGTCATCAGGATTCAATTTCCCTCTACCTTGAGGTTCTTCCACCGTGTTAGTCACAATCTCCGGAGCTCCAATGTTGCTCCGCTCAGCTCCGGGTGTTCCCTCATGCTGACAAGAAGGAGGCAGTGTCTTCAACCTCTGGATCTCCTCAGCTCTAAGTCCAGTTGGGAGAGAAACACACTTTCCCTCTTACAGCATTCTCAGGAGTCATTAGGTCTCATTGGCTCTGAGTGGGTCACATGTGCTGTGCTGAGCCAATCACTGTGACTGTGGAAATGCAATGTATTGATTGGCTTAGGCCTAGGTCACATGCTTCTTCCTCAGAGCTCTTCCCAGATAACTGGACAGCTTCTGTCCCTTCTCATGAGGTTTCCTCCTGCCACTGCCTCTCTGCCTTCTTCTGGTTTCATAGGACCATCACACATCTGTTGCCCAGCGGCTGTGAGGTGCAATTACCTGGCTACCTGGGTGGAGAACAGGCCACACATCCTAATGGCTTGTGAAGTTAGTATTCTCACCTGCCTCTGGGGTTGGCAGCACCTCAGCCCTGGCCAGTATATGAGATGGGTGCCGTCATGAGGCAATCCAATGGTTTTCAGGTGCCCTACCACTCCCTCCCCCATCCTACAAACGCACTTTCTTCCCCTCCACCCTTGATGGATAGAGGACCCCTGGTCACATCTCTTTGCTGTGTTGGTGGCCACTTGAGAATGCTGGCAAGTTGGTCCATTGTATGCAGCTTTTCTCCATGGCTAGCTCTTGTCCATGGGTCCACTGGACCACAGGTGGCTCACAACCTGTCACAGGTTGCAGACAGTCAACAGGCACCTTCTCTTTTCACCCCCTCACTGAGTTGTACCACTCCAGGCCTGACCATAGCAGCCATGCTTACTCTGTAGAGGTCTATGCGTGTTACCTCAGGCCTGTGTGTGTGTGTGTGTGCACGCACCCACGCACAGCAGGGTCACCTCCCAATAATCCAGGCAAGAAGCAAGTGTAACTAGTTTATGGGATGGAATATACCTGGTCAGGTACAATCCAAGGCTGAAGCAAAACCTGACGTTCCATGTCTCAAATTATTGCCTGTCTTATTCTGAGTGTTAACGTGAAACTAAAAACCTTAGGTTTGGGATCTCAAAGGGTCGGTACTACTGATAAAAATTGCTGATTGCATGCATACACTTGGTTAGTGCAACATTGACATGCATTTCCTTCGATAAGCTACGCTGGGAGCAGGTTAATGGAAAGGGGCTGGCACAACCTTCTTGGGATGGGCTGTCTGGCCGGCTGCCACTAAGTCCCAGCTGGAGCATCAGTGACCTCTGCTGGCGAGATTTTTCTCTCTGGTCTGCACAACAGTTGGCATCTCCTCCAGGTCTGTGTGTCCGGTACAGCGTTCTTCAGAGAGAAGCCGCAAGACTGACGCCCAGCGAAGGTAGGGAAGACTGAGATTTTATGCTAAAACATTTACAGGGGTTAGAGGTCACAGCAGGCAGGAGTTTAAGCATTGATCGCATCCCTGCCTTCATCAGCTGTTTCTCAAATGCGGACATTACTCACTCTCCACATATAAACGTGTTTTCTTTCTTTTTTAAAATACTTTTCTCAAGAAGAACATATGCAAAAACAAGTTTCACATAAACAAATTTATGAGATTTCTTAAGAATAACATGTTTGCAAGTTGAGGAAATGAGGTGAAAACACTCTGTCAAAATGAGTTCACTTTTTTACGTGTGTGTCAGGGGATGAGGCATCCTTTACAGATACCTACCCAAATCACACGCTCCACGTTGGCACGTCCTCTCACCCACAGACACATGGGAAATGCTGTTGCAGGACAAGCCCTGAGCGCACCTCTAAGCCAGGCAGACCTTTTGTAACCGGCCGGGTACGTCTATAATGGGAGACTCTGGACAGCAAAGTCGAAGCCATCATGGCAGGTCTTGAGAGTCATGCTGATGCAGAGTTACTGACTTAGCAGCTCTTGTCCCCGTGGGACCATGTGGTGGGCACTTGAGGGCCTCGCCCAGCCTGCCTGCCTTCTCTGATTATTGCGTTTGCCTTCAGGGAGGGGCCTCTGCAGCCATATTCTCACAGGACTCGGTCCCTTTAACCAGAGCTAACAGACCAAGGGGAACCAATCCCTTCAATGGGCTTGAGGGAGGGTGGGAACCAGATATCCTTTTCCAGAAACTGGCAGTCAGGACACAGGGGCGACAGTCAGGCTCTGGTGGACACTTAGCCTGTGAGGTCCTATCGGGCTGGCCTGCATCTTCCACTGCAGACAGAGAGAGGCAGAGAAGGCCGGTCAGCACAGAGAGAAGTGAGCAAAGGTGACAGGAGGGGGACGCAGAGACGATGAGGTGATGTGGAGAGAGAGAAGGTCTCTGCTCCCTGGTTCCAGTTTCCATCCATCCTCCCCTACGTTCTCTCTTACGCTCCTATTTCCTTCCCACGTCCCATTTTGTTTCAACAAAAAAGACCTGGAAGACAGATGCCCTTCTGCCTAGTTTGCATTTAATACAGAGCAAAATAATTCCAAACACTTTTGCTTGAGAGCTCAGAATTTGAATTATATTTATCCAAACTGTCAGGAATCTTCAGGATGGAGTGAGATGTCTGTTAACTGGATTTTCTGGAGAAATGAGAGTTAAGCAGAAAACTGTTTTTCTGTTTGTTACCACCTTTGTTATAGAAATCTGTCTAAAATGCATGAATAAAGAAAAAATTGGAACAACTTAAATGTCTACCATAGGACACTGGTTAGAGATTCATACAATGGAGTACTATGCAGGCATTAAAACAATAAGACAGAGCCATATGCCCCACCATAGAAGGTTCTCCATGACGTATTTTAAAATAAACTAAAGTATTGAATGCTATGTGTAGTGTGCTCTCATTTGTGTAAAAAAAATTAAGAAGGAAATAAAAATATAAAAGTTCATAGATACACATGCATATGTGCTTGGATATGCATAGGATATCTGTGGGGTTACCCAAGATCTGCAACGGTGCATGCCACTAAGGAGAAGCCTGGGGGCAGAACGAGATGGAAACTTATTTTTCTCTGTGTACCCTTTTGTACTATTGGAAAAAACTTTTTTTTAATTACCATGTACATGTATTAGTTCTTTACATACATAATATATTAGCACATTCAAATGCATTAGCCTGCATTCCACTTTTATTGAGTACAGAGCATTCATCTCCCTTAACCATGAGAGTTCCTGGAAATTGGAGCAGAAAGATCTTCAGAAATGTCCACATTGCTGGGGTCACCTACTCTCATGTCTTTGCTTTGGTCTATAGAAGTTGTTGAATCGTCAGATAAAGGCGGTGAGAAGCGCAGGCTGCGCATTGCTTGAACAGCCCAAGTGCGAGGAGAAGGGAAGCAGGAAGGGGTGTGGGCTGAGCACCTGCGATCCGTATCCTGGGTGGAAGAACTACCAGCACACTGGGTTCTCGTTTCCTGTGCGGAGTCTCACCACTCAGAATGGAGAAGTCCTTGGACTTGGGCCTTTCTGCATCCATTCATCGGTGAAAACAATACCTTCTTTCCAGGTTCTTCTGAGGAATAAATATTAAGGCATCTGGCACAGTGCCTCGCTCAGTAAGTTTTAGCTGAATGCTGTGTGTTTGCGGTCATTCTGACTGACTCCCTCAACATGTCCTAGAAGGAGGTACATAACCTATATTAGCAGAGAATTATTCTGTGTTGACAATGATTTATGGGTTTGAATTCAGACTCTGATGTTTAGAATAAGTTATTACTAGAAGTTTCTCTGCTCTCTTGGAAGATGTTTTTTGAGGGATGGAAACTTTATTCCATTCATCATGGCCATCTTTGCCATCAGGGAGAGAACCAGCCTGAGAGGGAAGCCAACATAGAGGAAACAGAGCAGAGAGAAAAGGGAGGGATAGAAGAGGGGAGAGAGAGAGAGAATATAATTTTGCTAGAGTCCTTGGATCCAGCTTTGCTTAGAGCCAACTATTCTGTCCATGGCCATTGAGAAGATGCTGACTCAGTCTTTGCTCTTGTGTTGAGATGTAGAAATACAGTGCACTAGAATTAGGAATTCCCAGTTTCTTTGGTTTTCCGGGCTGGAGTGAGAAAGCATGAGAAGTGCCGGGCCCAGGTCTTCCTCCCATCCCTTCCTACCCCGCTCCTTCTCACACTGCTGGGGACCTTGTGCACACCCATGGGGCCCCTGAAACTGCATCACATGCAAACAGATGCCCCTTACCTGTCCCTGGGACCAAGGGGAGGGATACCGGCAGAGAAGAGGCCTACGCAGACCCTAGAAGTGGGCAGGGAATTCTCAGGTCCTGGTTACTCAGAGTGTGGCCTAGGGGATGGCAGAGACTCTGGGTTGGCACATCCCTGTTGGCCCAGCAGACTCTTTGCCCAATGGAGTGGGGGATCTCTGGACGAGGGCAGTGCGGGGCCTTCTTGCCTGGGTCTGAGAATGATACTGAGTGGGGAGGAGTTCCTAGTGGCCGTCGTCATATTCAGTATAAGCAATAGCAGAGGAGGCTGGTTCTCATCAAGATGAGACATGACAAGAATAGTGGCCTAGAGTTCTTGCCTTTCGTCCTTAGGATGAGAAACCTCAGAAATTATGGGGTCTGACTTGGAAAGACCTGGGGAATGGCCTGCCACTCCTCCCACGCACCACATTTACACAGAAGTTGTCCAAGTCCACGTGTGGCACCTGGCCTTTTGGTCCAGTAAAACTGAGAAGCTGGACATGAACAGAACCTAAGCTACACACTATCTCAGGTTGTCAGAGTTCAGGAGAGAAACCGGCCACTTGGAAGTGAGTCAGCTTTTCTCTGGCAGTATCACATTGCTCACGTGAAGTGAATTAACCTTTCTGAAGTAGAGATGTCATTTCCTAGCCCTTCCATTTAGCGGGCCGGATGCATATAAAGCAGGCGATGACCCAGACTTTCCGGGCTATGACATTATACAGCAGGGGGCACTGAAGGAGCTTGAAGATCCCTTCTGAGGCTGGTCTACACCTCACATTCTAAATTCCTAGTCCCAGCCACAGGTCCCCCATATCTGACCCTTTTGAGTAACTGACTAAAAGTTCAGATTTCAATTACTTATAAGGAAAAACAACACACACACACACACATACACACATTTCCATTCTTTCCTGATTAGATAGAGACAAGCAAAAGTATGAAGTCTTCCATTTGTCGTGGGCCACACAAGACCATATTTTCACCCCAACATAAAAGGACCCTTGTTTAGATAGTCTTTGAAATTTCACCCAATTTGTACCCTCCTTTCTTTCCATTCATAGCATTTTTAGGATTTCTTCCTCTCTCCCAAATCTCTGATAGATAGCTCCAGGAGCTCTCTGGTTCCACTGTGAATAATGCTGTGGTTTTCACCACCACGGCTTTGCTGTGAGGAGCTGGGCTCCCGTCCCTTTGCCTTTCCCAGCAAGCTCTGGAACTCAGCTGTTTGGGATTAACCATTTCTCCGCATACAGCTGTATGACCTTGGGTAAGTTTTTTAGCTTCTCTGTTCCTTGGTTTTCTCACTGGGAATTATCCCTTGTTCCAGCTTGTCTCTAAAGATGCCTGCCGTCAACTCCTCCCCTCCCTGTACGTGCCTGCCACACCCCGACTGAGATGTAGGGCCCATCCCTCCACCTCTTGAATCTGGGCTGGGTTGTGCCTGCTTTGATGCCCAGAGTGGTCAGGCCTTTCGACAACTCTGGCCCCAGTGCTGTCTGACTGCAAATGCATGAGAGGCCTGCTCGGCTGATCCTAGTCAAACCACAGACCCGTGCGAAATAATAATAAATGGTTGTTTTAAGCCACTAACTTCTGTGGCCCTGTGCGGCCAAAGGAACCACATTAAACTTTGATGGAGAAGACAATAATCATGTCTCCCTCACAGAATTGATACGAGGATTAAATGAGTTAGTATTCATTAGATGCTCAGAGCAGTGCCTTGGAATATTAACTGCCATATAAGAACATGTTGAACAAAAAAATTGAGTGACCTAGGACTCTGAGAGTATTAGAGTCTCAAGCTAATAAACACTCATGTTGGGGAGAGCACAGTAGTTGTCACTGTCCAGGGCCCAGTCCTCCAAAAAATAACTCAGTCAATGTGGAGTCAGTTGGTGATGGTGAAAACAGTGTCCTGCAAACAAAAAGGTGTTGGTCCCATCTCTCTGAGCCTGGGCAAGCCTCCTGACTTCTCCATGCCTCCGTGTGCACAGCTTTCAAATGAAGACGATAATCACTGCCACCACAACAGAAGTGTTGTGAGGGACAAATATGAAAACAGCTGTGAAAGAGCTTTGAAGAACAGATTCTTTAGCCTTTGCTGAGACACTTCATTTCCGACCCCTCCACGTGTGTCAGTCTATCAGACACTGAGGTCTGGACTTCCTTAAATTAAACCCAGGCTCCATACTTCTTGGCTACAACCAGTCTCTCGCCAATACCCCCAGCTCCCTTGCCTCCTCATCCTTTGTTCCACTCTGCATGGTGGAATGCTGGTCTCCAAACTTTAGGTTACACTTGTTGCTACCTTTCTCCATCTTTCTTCTCCCCTTTGTACTCAGCTTCTTGAAACAAGAGTCTTCACTCACTGTCTCCACCTCTACTCTTGCATCCGCCCCTCAGCTTCTACCTGCACCGCCACCTAAAACCACTCTGCGAAGCTCACCAGCTGGATCACTAGAGCAGGCTGGTACCAGCTCTCTTGAGTCGACTGGGTGCCTCTCTTCCAAACTCCACATCCGGTGACATCATGTTGGTAGCTTAAAATCATCCATGGGGGGAGTATATGCACCACAGAAATCAGCAAACACTATAAATCAGGCTGGTTGTTAGCCTTTCCCAGCACACCACTGGCAGTGACCTTCTAGTTACTGAGAGCAAAAGGGCACTTTCCAGACTTTCCTTACTTGGCTTTATCTTTGCTTGACAGTATTGACCAGTCTCTCCTTTCTGAGATATTCTCCATCTCTGACTTCCTAGTTGCCACTTCTCCAACTTTCCTCCTGCTTCTCTGGCCCCCTCTCTGTCTCAGCCTCTTATATAGGCTTTTATTTAACTCCTCTTTCAAATACTGATGTTTTCTGGGATTCTGTCTTTCTCTAGCCAAGCTTCATAGGGGACATCTTGAATTCCCATAGTTTTAACAATTCTGAAACCAAAAGTTTATCTTTGACCCCTCCCTAGCCCTCACTTGCCGTGTTAATTCCATATCAAGTCTTGCTCCCAAACCTTCTCTCTTCTCTCCATCTTCACCGCCTCCATGTAATCCAAGCCACTATCATCTCCAGCCTGGACCACTGCAATAGTTTCCTAAGTGCTCTACTCAGGGCTGCTACTGTCCTCCAAACCATTTTCTACATTTCTGCCACGGTGACTTTTTCACAAAATTGATTAAATCACCTCTCCTTGTCCCAACCTGCTGTAAACAATTCAAGGGCTTTCTGTTGCTCTCAGCATAAGATCCGAATCCTTAGCGTGACCTGGGAGGCCCTGCTCAGCTTGGCTCCTGCCCTCCACCTCACCGCAGATCCATCTCTCTTGCGCTCTGGCCACCATTTGCTTCCAGAGCACTGTGTTCCCTCCAGAAGCAGCCTTCTGTACCTGCCATTCCCTCTACCTGGAAACGCTCTCCCCTTGGACTCCTGTTCATCTTTCAGATCTCACCTCAAAAGTTCCTTCCTCAAGGGTGACTTCCCTTGAATTTCCAGACTAGGTTAGACCCCCCCCTTAGATGTCCTTGCAGCACCTCGTAGCTCTTCCTCATGGCACTCATCGCAGCTGTGATTATTCAGCTTTTTGCCTTCCCCACTAGATCCCCGCTGAGCTCCAGGGACTATTTGTTTCGCCTGCCCTTGGATTCCCAGTGCCTAGCTCAAACAGGTTTTGAATGAACGAGACATGACTTTTAGATCTGCGGCTGGAGTCAGTGCCTCTTCTGAACTTCTGCTCAACATATCTAGTTGTCTGCTGGCGACTCCATCCTTCCAATTGCTCAGACCCAAACCTCAGAGTCATCCTTGACTCCTCTGTTTTCCCTCCCCCATGGGACCTAAACCACCCGCAAATCCTATCAGACCGATCTTCAAAGGGCATCCAGTATCTCAGCCCAAAAGGATGTGCCTCCTGACAAAAGAACATAACCCAGCCTAGGAAGCTGTCCTGCTGCTTCCCACATGGTGAGAAACTCTTCAGGACACACCACCTCATTTCTTCACAAATAAATTGCAAAGGGGGGTAAAAAGAGATAGAGGGGGGAACCTATAGATTAAAAGACACCCAGCTACATCAACCAATTGTAGTGTGGGACCTTATGTGGGTTCAGATTCAAATTGTAAACAAAATTATGACAATTGTAAGATAATCAAATTTTAACTGATGGATTTAAGGAAATTTTTTTTTTTTTTTTAGTGAGGAAGATTAGCCCTGAGCTGACATATATTGCCTATCTTCCTCTTTTTGCTTGAGGAAGATTGTTGCTGAGCTAACATCTGTGCCAACATTCTTCTATTTTTGTATGTGGGATGCTGCCACAGCATGGCTTGATGAGTGGTGTGTAGGTCCACGCCTGGGATCCAAACCCAGGAACCCTGGACTGCTGAAGTGGAGCAAACAAACTTAACCACTATGCCAATGGGCTGGCCCTAAAGAACTATTAATTTTTCAGGTGTGATAATGATATGGTTATATTAAAAATGCTTATTTTTTTAGAGACACGTTCTGAAATACTTACAGATGGAATGGTATGATGTCCGAGATCTACTTCAAAATAGTACAGTAGAGAAGGGAAGTAGTGAGGGTATAGATAAAATTGGTGATGAATTGTTGACTGTTGAAGTTGGATGATAGGCACACTGGGGTTCACCATACTATTCTGCCTTTTCATGTGTTTGAAATTTTTCCTATTAAAAATATCTATCCAGGGGCCAGCTCCGTGGCCGAGTGGTTAAGTTCGCAACCTCTGCTGCGGCGGCCCAGAGTTCGGATCCTGGGCGTGGACATGGCACCGCTTGTCAGGCCACGTTCAGGCGGCATCCCACATCCCACAACTAGAAGGAGCTGCAACTAAGATATACAACTATGTACGGGGGAGTTTGGGGAGATAAAGCAGAAAAAAAAAAAAAGGAAGATTGGCAACAGTTGTTAGCCGAGGTGCCAATCTTTAAAAAGAAAAAACGAAATCTATCCAGAACGTGATCTAGTCTTCGTATTTTTACTACTCCCACCCTTGTCCTAGCCACTGTCATCTGTCACCTAGGCTGCCACAGCCTCCTACCTATCTCCCCACCCCCACTCTTGCCCCATCCTGCCACCTATTCCCCACACTGCAGTGAGAGTGGTCGTTAACACGTCAGGTCGGGTCCTCTCTGCTGAAGCCCTGCAATGGCTTCTCATCTTGCTTGGACCTTGCGGTACCCGTCTCTGACCTCATCTCCTAGCACTCAGCCCCTCACCTGCTCCCCTAATGCCCTTCTGCTGCCAGGATAGAAATTCAAACCCTCTGGCAAGGCCCACGAGACCCTGGTGATGTGTCCTTGGCATGCCCCTCTGGCTCACCACGCCAAACCCCAGGCTTGGGGAATAATCTACACTCACCCGGGCTCCTTTGTTTTAATGACTCCTATCTGCACCTGACCCCACTGGGAAGCCCAGGCCCCATCAGCTCCAGCTCAGTGTTCTCTGTGTTGGTTCTGAGCCCCTAGGAGCGCAGCGCTTTGTTTCTTAATCACCTATTGCCTTGTCAGTCTCCTTCCCCGGAGTGAAGTTCCTTGAAGGCATAGACTACTGCTTACATCTCTGTAGCCCTGGCCTTGACATAATGCCCAACACTCAAAGTTAAGCATATTTTGAATAAATGAACTAAATTCCTACATAAGTTAGCATTGTTACATCTTTTAAATCTCTGTGTACCAAAGTTTCTTATAACAGCAATAAAATCCCCCTAGAATTACATATAAGTCATAACTGTTAAAGTTATTGAGAAAAGTGGTCACTTCTCAGCCAGGCCTTCTAAATAAGTAGAATTACCTGATGTCTCAGATGTCAAGAAGGAGGTAATAAAAATGTAGTCACATTTCTGTTGTAACCAGTTCTTCCCTTAGTTGTCTAAATTTGGAGTGTTACGTTTTAAAAATTGCACACTAAGCCAACTGGCCCACTCACTGACCGTTTTCTTTGAAGAATCAGGGTCAGGGGTGCACACTGGGGAGGGATGGAGGGAGGGGCCAAAGGGAGCTGTTCTCTCCAGAAAGGGGACTAATAGATGCCAGGATTTAGGGAGGGGAAAGGGGAAGAGTCCTCAGATATGGAGGAAACTGAAGTGGAAGACCTATTGCCTCTGCCAAGAGGAGCTGATGGAGAGAAAGGGAGCAGAACCTAATCGATCAACAGGTGACGAGAAGAGCAGAAGGTGAGCAACAGGAACGAAAGGACCCGAAGTAATGAAAAGAATATTGCTCTGCAGACAGGATTGCTTTGCATAGTTTGTTTTCATGCTTTTAATCCAGCTACTTTCTCAATTGTTGCAAATTCTTTCAATATTAAATCTGTTGTTTTGCTAGACAATAAAGTTAGTTTTAGCGGAGAGCAGTTACCAAGTTTTTGGGAGAATTTGGTTTGGATTGTCCTTCAGATAAAAAATTACTACTACTGGCCAGTCATTTGGATGGAAATCTGAGTTTTTCCCCTGTGTTGGTGATGGATTGTGCTGCCCGAGTCCCTGGCACTCCCTTTCCCATTAGCCATTGGGACTAATTGCATGCATCTGAAGATAATTAGCTAAGGTTAGGAGTACAGTCTGTGATAGTTTTTTTTTTTTTTTTTTTTTTTTTTTGCTGAGAAAGATTTGCCATGAGCTAACATCTGTGCTAATCTTCCTCTGTTTTGTATGTGGGTCACTGCCACAGCATGGCTGCTGACAAGTGGTGTAGGTCTATGCCCAGGAACTGAAGCCAGGTTGCCGAAGTGGAGCACACAGAACTTATCCACTGGGTCCTGGGACTGGCCCCTGGAACAGATTTTTTTTTAAATGTTAAAAATTACTAGCTTATAATAGCATTAAATTATAATTTCACTCCATATTCCAAAAAAAAAGTGTACAAACTCTTAAAACCTGATTTTTATAGGGCAATATCTGAAGATATGAGAAGCCAAAGGCTGCAGTACTGAAGCCTCAGTCAGTAGATTAGCAGCGAGTCCAGGGAAGCTGAGCCTCACACGGCCTCCCAGAAGCTGTCATCCTAACAACTACCATCCTGAAGCCGTATGACTGTGTTGGTCTCCTTTCCTCACTCTCTGTTCAGTTTACATCAAGCATTTTTCTGTAAGGTATTGAGAAGGAACAAAAACACGGGCTTCGGGGTCAGGCAGCCCTGGATGGAAATCCTGGCTCTGTCTGGCCGTGGGATCTTCTCAAAGTCACTATAAAATGTGGATAACGAGGTCTCCTCCCCAGGGTCATCAGGGAAGGACAGAATGAAACGGGCGACGTAAAGAGTATTGCCAAATGCCTGGTTCTTGATAAGTGTAATTTGCTTCCTGTGGGTGAACAGAGCAGAATGCTTCCCATACTCTGCGATTTTCATGCTAAGATCAGGCCTATCCAAAGCACTAAATTACCAGAAGACTTCAATCTCTCTTATTCTACTTTTTTTTAATGTCATATTCCATTTGAGTCCCAAGCATGGAAGTAGGTACTATGGAATGTAAACAAGGAAACAGAAATATATTGAATGAATAATACGTGAAACAATGCTCTGACTCACAGAGATGAAACAGCTGCTTGGCTGCACAGAAGAATTAACATTAAAACATTTAAAAAGAGACTTAACATAGGAATAAGCTATTTTAATCAAGCAAAGACAAATTTATATTCATTATTTCTAAAAATAAAATTAGACTTCTCCAACCCTTGACATCTGCATTTAATAATATCTTCTAACCAAAATACAGATGCTAAAACAGCAAATTACAGTATATCTTGTACAGCATACAGTATGCTCACTGTTTATACACTTACTTTAATTCTAGTTGGTCAGTATGTGGTCAATGCATACTTAAACATCACTCATAATAAAGTTTTCACAATTAACAAAAAATGTGACAAGGCTTAGTCTTAAAACGGCTCTGCTATAAATTGTATAGAATATACAGAATTACAAAGTCAAGTATTTTTTATCAAAATATACACCCCTCCCTGAAACTAACACAAGCTATCAACATTTTAAACGAATAATACAATTATAGAAAATATTTGCAAAATTATTTTTTCATGTATAAATATTCTGCCATATTTACTTTGGTCTAGAATTATCAGCATACAAGTCCACTTAAAAAATATCCACATGTAAGGGCTGGGAGACATCACTACATGTAATAATTTTATATTTGGAGTTACCTCAAATCAAAATGACTAAAATGCACAGTAATTCTCCTTGATTCATAATCCTAATCGAGATAAACAAATTAATAGATCACAGGATTGCTTATTCAATATTCTAATTATCAATTTGAAAAAGATTTTCATAAGCCCTTTGTGACCATCTCTTTAACGAAACCCAAATGAATAGTGCAGGTGTACATATATACAATGTATAAAATAAAGTTGAGTCCGTTTGCATTTTCCCATTTGCCTCTGTTACATAATACTGTATGTGAGTGAAAGTAGAACAAAGATAAATGCAGGTACAATATTGGGCTTACTTAACAGCAAAGTACTACAGTATAAAAAGGTCAGCTCTGATCACGTCCTTTTCCGGGTGTGAAATGCTTTCTTGCCCACCCAAATCCATATTAAGTCTTCTTCATGGAGACATCACAACACTTGGAGAGAGAAACTGGAGTCCTTTGAGCTACTTCTTCGTCATGGGAACCTTGGGTAAACTTGGGTTTCCGTCTCCCAAATCCCGTGAACATGAATGGCTGCAAGTCACCCTGAAACCAGGCTCTGCATTCTGCCCACACTGGTGATCAAAGCGTAGGAATGTCTTCTCTCTCCCTCCTATTCTGGCAGTTTAAAAAGTAAGAGTCACGAGTTCCAGCTTCCCAGGAACCTAGTCCACATGATGGAGTATCCTAGAGGGTAATTAGACTTTGAGGGCAATGCCGATGGTGTGGGCCAGCATAAAAGAACATTAAAAAACTTGAGCGGATTTTTAGGTAAGGGGGCTGGATATCTGCAAACACGAAGACAAGGCATTTGGCTTTGTGGATATATTTCTAAGTCATGTAAGTAAGTGATGGAACCTTGTCATTCCACATTCTATCTCCCCATCCTCCCCAAAACAAAGCCACTGTTTGAGGCAAGGAAGATCATCAATTCCTCTTGCCCAATCAAATCATTAATGGGTTGGTGGGGGGGTTCTGTTGTCCTTTTGTTTTATACTAGTATACACTTGTAGGCTGCATAATCTCCAAGAGGGCTAATAATTGTAGGGACTAGGCTTTCTGTCACTTTCAAGTGCCTGGGAATTCATCACTGTATGTGTGCCTTGCGCTAAACTTCCTGGACACTCCTTCTGTGGAACGGGAGGTGTCAGGTTTTACTTGACCCCTGGGACTGGGTACGTCTATCTGGACTAGACCTCCACAGCCATGGCCTTGTGATAGATGGAAGACTGTAGGGCGTTTCAGAAGAATTTGACCCTTCTTCATTTTCTGAAGTGAGGCCACTGCAAAGTAATACACAGCACAGGTAATCACAGGTAAGTTCTGGGAAGGCTCTCCCCCATAGATAAGGCATGACCTATGTTTTCTGTGACTCGAGTAGACCAATTCTAACACAGCTCAGCCATAACTGCAAGAGAACAGCATTCCATCTAAAAGCACACACATGCTCTTAAGTCCTATTCAAAATGCTTTCTATTGATTTTTACATCAGTCCTCATTATTTGCAGATCTATTGCTCATCATTATAATTCTCTACAGGGGACATGGACAGTTAAAAGTTAGAGTGATTTATATATGTATTTTACAAGGTTTGTGTGCAGAAAAGTAGTTCTAGGTGATGTATGAACGTCCTACTTAAGTTACTCATTTCACACGTATTTTCAGCTATATTATTACTTCATATGTATCCATTAATTTAAACAAGTTTTAATAGTGCAGAAGCTGGATGGGAATAATGACTGTTGTAGCTTGTTCACCTTTTAACATATTTATGAAGATGACATTTTCATGATATCCGACCCTTATTTTCTCCAGTGACTAAAGACAGTTCAGCAGCCGGTTCCTATTAGCACTTACTAGAAAGTTTTAAGTTAGGCTAAAGTTAAACTCTTTGTTTTCACTGGCAGGAATACCACAGCTAAGAACTTCGTCAGCTCTCACAAGACACTCGGTGTACTGGAGGACCGGCTATTTCGTTTTTGTGCACTTTGCATGAAGTTAATGCTAAAACCCAAAGTAGATATTAGGATCCTTTTTCTGGAATTTTCACAAATGAGATTTTCTTTTTTTACACTTCACTCCTTTATGACTGTTATGTGAACAAAACTAAACTGAAAAACGAAAACAAAAAAGGAAACGGCTAACTAAAAAAAACCCCAAAAAACATAAAGCCACCAACTTAGGTTTTTGAAGATTTTTCCAAGTATTGCCATTCAAAGGACATTTTCAACAATGGTCTGTACGTTATCCTTTTGGTCATTGTCTTCTGAATCAACGAAATGTGGATTTTCCAGGGGATCTGAGTTTTCGAGGCACACGTCTCCTTCTATTTTCTCCCGCTGACTTGGGCTTTTGAATAAGTGTTTCTTCTGGTGCATCCCAAGGGCAGCAGCTGTTTTGCAAATTTTGGGGCACTGGAAGCAGGCGTAGCCCTTCCCGTCATGCTCCCGAATATGCCTCTGCTCATGATTCCTTTTCGTGGACAGATACAAAAAACTCTGGAAGCAGAACTGACAGTGGTAACGCTTTTCACCAGTGTGGATTCTTTCGTGGATTTTGAGGGTCTCGTTCAACGTGAACGCCTTGTTGCAGTACTGACAGATGAACTCCTTCACGCCCAGGTGGATGCGTTCGTGTTTCTGTAAGTTTCCTTGCATGGAAAAGCGCCGCCCGCAGGTCTTGCACTGGTACGGCTTCTCTCCCGTGTGACACCGCATGTGCATCTTGAGCGTGGAAGGGCTCTGGAACTGCTTGGCGCAGAGCTCGCACGCATAAGGCCTGGCAGTGAGGTGCCGGTGGGGCCTTCCTTGGTTTCCAGCCCCTGAGGCCTTGTCTCCATCACAGAGTTCACACTGCAACTTAGGCATCTCTTTATTTTCTTCTTCCTCAAAGGCCTTCTCCTGAGGAGACTTCCCCACCACGCAGTCCAGTTCTGCTGGGTATTTACACTTATTGCTTGGGCTCCTGTTTCCATGCTCCTTCCTCCAGTTGACTTTCCTCATTTTTCTCAACTGTCTGGATTTCTTTTTGGGTTTGTAGTTGTAGTACGGGCGCCACGGTTTGTCAGTGGAATCCTGGTCACTTGCGTCATCGAACATTTCGCTCATCTCCACGCACTCGGATTGGCAAAGCCCCAGCGGGCTGTCTCTGTTGGTCTCCGGGTCGCTCTCTCGTGGCAGAGTCTCCTCCTGCATTTGATACTTGGGTCTTCTCCCTCTCTTATAGAACAGTTTCGATCCTAGGATATGCCTTTTCACGATGGCTTCATTCCCAATTTTCACTGTTATTTGGCAGAGGGGCGCGACGTTGCTATTTGTGGAGGTTCCAGGTAGAGCAGGCTTCGCAATGTAGGTTTCAATTTTACTGGTTTCTTTAACGATGTTTGTGGTTTTGCTCAACGACCCTCCGGGGTCAGCAGTGTATTTTGACTCCTCTGGTAGTTCTCCCCTGATACATGGTATAGTTTTCTTTTTCTCCTTAATGGTTTTGGGTCTGCTGGCGACTCTACTCCCTTTGTCTGGCTCAGGTTTGCCGTCATCTCTCAGGGACTGGCTGACAGCCGGGTCTGAAGGGGCTCTGTGGTTGCTGCTGGTCATGGCAGCAACAGTGTTGCTGTGCATTATCACCGAGGAAAACTGGCTACTGTGCACAATGACCGACGGTGCTGAGCCACTGTAGCTAATCACAGAGGCGGAGTTCTCACTGCCATTACTCACAGACAACACGGGAGCTTCTCTGGCAGGGACGGCAGAACTGACAGCATTTTCGGTGGAAGAAACTGACACCTCAGTTGAATAAAAGTTATTGTCAACATCAACTTTCAGTGGCTCCTGTCCCCATTTGGTACCCTCTGCATTTTGCACACTGGCAGAAGTGGGTATGTTCTGACATGCAGGTGTTTCCAATGGGATGGGTGGACTCTTGGTCAAGGTGTTTACACTGTCTTGGAAATTCAGCGAAGGTAATTCAGAGCTGTGTGGATTCTGAATGACATAGGGACCAGGTGCAGACTCACTGATCTGACTGTTGTCTCGAGCATTTTCATAGGAAGAGTTTCGGTAGCTCTTATAAGGAGCCCTCTTGCATTTCATAGGCAGGAGTCTATAAAGTTTATATGGATAGACACTAGGCTTCAGGCCCCCATTGGCTGTTTTTTTACTAATGGACAGTCTATGATCTATGGCATGGAAAGACTTCTGATGGTTTTTGAGTATATAGTAGGTCATGAAGGTTTCAAGGCAGAAAATACACTGATAGCGCCTTTCTCCCGTGTGCCAAATTTCATGTCTTGTCCTGTACTCAGCCAACGCAAACACTTTGTTGCAGTAATGGCAAGGATATGTTCTTCTCCATGAGTGAACATTTGCATGTCTCCGGAGGCTGGATAAAGTCACGTAACTACGTTTGCATACAACACAACTGTAGAGCATCTGCCCGTTAACAAATTTAACCATGTGGTCCGTTTCCGGCAAGGTACTTCCGGAACTGGAAAATTCACCAATCCTATTTTCAGATAATAAAGGTTCTGGACTTGTGAACGAACCTCCGTTTTGTCCAATGGTAGGATAGTTTTCTAAAAAGCGTTGATTTCCTCCCGGGACGGGCATGTGGCTTGCCCTCATGCAGATCTGCTCGTGCCGGTCCAACCTGTTCAGGGTGCTGAACTGCTTGTTGCAGTGCTTGCACACTAACGGCTCCTGCGTTGGCTTGTGCAGCTGCATGTGGGCACTGAGCAGAGTGCTGCTGTCAAAGGATTTGGAACAACAGCTACAATTGTAAACGAGGGGTGGAACCTCCGCTGTCAGCGGCCCGGGGACGTCCGAGGATTTATTTTCATCTTCCCTGGAAGGACGGACATCGCCTTCGTTGTGGGGAGATTTTGAATGAGAAAGAACTGCAGCTGGCTGTGGACTTCTTTCCTGGTTAACCTCCGAGTTGGTTACTACTGGAGGAGGCGGTATATTTTCTGCAGCTGGATCAGAATCCTGGGGCAGGGAGAGCGTCTTTGGCTTGCGGCATGTTTTCGGCTTTGCTGTCAGAGCTTCACAATTTTCTTTACCTGTTTTGCCAGGTGAGTTGCTATCACGTTCACGTACAGGCTGACTTCTGTAAGCCTCGGCCACGGAAGAAACAGCATATGAGTGCTCAGCCAGGGTCCGGACGGGCTCCGCCTCGTGGCAGACATCAGTCCTCTCCAGGCAAAGGCTAGAGGTCCTCATGGAGTCAGAGACCTTTTTGAAACTTGCCCTCAAGTCCAGTGGAGAAAACATGTTATTACTATTTTCCGTTTCAATGATGGAAAATGCATTTGTGATCCTCGGCCCATTAGTGATGGCTGGTTCTTCATGCCTTTTTTCATTTTTTTCCTCTTTAACCACTCCCTTCTCAGTAATGCAGAAGACGTAGGGACCTGGGGAATTTGAGAAGTTGCGATCGGTAAGATCTTCCAAGAAGGATATTCCCAGCTTTTTCCCTGCAGCTGCAAGGTCAGTGACTGTTTCCTGTCTCTTGACGACGACTGTGGAGCTGTAGATATAATTAAGGATTTCTGTAAACACTTCAGCTTTGAGATCATCCAGCTCCAGGACGTGGCTGGAAATACAGATTGTGTGGCTCCAAAAGATATTTTTGAAATAAAGGCTGGAAGCAGCCAGGACATTGCTGTGGGCTTTAAATTTGGTGTCTTCCACAATGATAGTGACATCACATAAAATGCCCCGAATGCGCTGCTCATTTAAGATGGAGAGCACTGTGTCACTGTGAAAGTCATCCTTGAGGTCCCTAGAAAGGGACATGACTGTCATCTGAAACAAGAGGAGAGAAATGGTCAGAGACTCTTCCACAAGTAGCTTCTATATTTCTAGACTATTTTCAACATCTTTGAAAAACTTTTGTTTTGTATGAAAATGCAGGTTTTTATTTCATTCTATTTTGCTTCCAAGACTTGGAGTCAACATTAGAAGCTAAATCTTTATCTCGCCCCAGCCTGTTTCTCATACCATTGCCAACAGTTGTTATAGTTGGAAATCCTCCCAGAACTCTTTCTCCTTCTTCCTTCAAAGTTGTAGCTATATATACATGTCCGAATTTGGGCGGAGGAGGTCCCCCCCAATGTTAAGGGTCTCATCATGACTCAAGGCCACCGCACTGAACCCCCCGAGTTGGGCAGAGCCACGGTCCTGCCACAAACCTCCGATCCATTTTCAAAGAAAGCCCTAATGACCTGACCCAAACATAATTCATGAAGCACGAAAGTGATTTTAAAAAAAGTTTTTCCTTAAGGAAGCAATACTTGTGTGTAAAGGTCCTGCCCGCTCAGAGAAGAAGCAAGAACTGGAGGAGCCATTCCTCTTTCGTGGCTCAGAGGCGTCTCTCTGTGGAAAGTCTCAGCCTGCATGACCGAGTCTGACCACCAGGGGCACCCTGCCTTTGTGCTACCAGCCCTTGGGGGGACCCATCCCATTCCTTTTCTGATTTCTCTTCCACTACAGCCAAAGCAGACTAGGGTTTTCAAAAGAACCCTGTGAGGTACTGAAGGCAAACCAAAAGGAAACAAAACACGACACCAGGAAAGTATGTTTCTGAGTTTACAATACTGAGTCTAGCCACAGGTTCCTAAATTATCACAATTTAAAGGCACAGTGGTCCTTATTCTGGTCTGAGGATCTTATCTCTGTTCTTCCTGGAGCCTCGTTCTTGTTATTCTCTATCTATGTTCTATACCACGAGCCTGGGATGGCCAGAGCCTACCAACCAACATTCTAGTGAGTGACGGTCAAGAGCAGAAGCTTCCATACTTACCCAGAGTAAGAAACACACGGTACACATTGACCTAAGACAGCAGTGAAGTAAAACTTAACCTCACGATGTGTGTGCAATGCATTCTGTTCTGTTCCATTATCTTTCATTTAAAAAAATGTTAACAGCAACTTACTAAACTAATTTCACTACACACTAATAGATCACTCCTGCAGTTAAAATAAAACAACCCTCTGCAGAAGGACCTACTAACCAGCTATTCATCCAGGCTCTATCCTTATCAGGTGACATCCAGAAAGCCATATAGCTGGATGCTCACTCTTTAACTCCCGGAGGCAATGCCTTCCTAGCACATTTATTCATTTGGAAAGACCAGACGGCCACAGAAAGAATATCTTTGTACCTTTTCATAAAGCTTTCATAAGCTGTATCCACTATTTTATTTAGTGTTCACACAAGGATCCATTTGCTAAATTCTTTTATTTCATTCAGCCATTGGAAAAAGTGCATTTCCACTGACAAATTCTTCAGATAATGAGAACAATACGCTCACCCTGTTTCTCTTTTAGTTCTTGAGATAAGGAAGCTTAGAACTCACTTTTACCATCACCTGTCGTAGCCATTGTCAGCCTGGGTTTCTGGGGTGACTATTGTCTCACTTTCTTTATTTGACATTAGTTCTTCTACTCTTGTTTACCCTGCCTTTAATTATAATCTTCCATGAATCTTTTCTGGAAGTGTGGGGGATTAAATCTATAAATAAAAATGGAATTAAATGAAATGGGATCTTTACGGCTTCTGTGTGTCCCCGAAGGGAGAAAGGGTCACCCCTGAACGCATCACAGCAGTCTGTCCCTCACTGGTTATAGATCAATGACAGACTTTGCTGATGTCCCCTTTGCCTTCCTTGAGGTCTCTCTGGTCTGGGCCCCTGTAGAATCTCCTTTCTCCCCTGACTCATATATGATTCTCTCGTTTGGCTTTGCTGAAGCCCATACATTATTTCAATTCTTTATCTGGCCTGACTAGATAGTCTCAGATTTGGCAAAATACATGCTGTATGATTAAAACAACGGCTTCCATCTTGGTTTAATTCTATGCTGACATCATCTATGTTGTCCTTCCACCTCAAAACCACTGCTTCTTCCAAAACACTCAGTTCATGGCTCACTGAACCTCCCACAGGCTCTGCTTGCGTTTGGGGAATACAGTACCTCACATCAAGCTAACAAGTACTCTAGGGTCTCAGGTTATGAGCCCCACTCTCTTCTGCGGGATTCTCTGAATCTTCTCTTAGATTATTCAGTCAGGACAGTGAGTAAAAGGCCGACTGTTAACATTTAATAATATCTTAGCCATACTTACAGTTAGAATAACATATATAATAGGAACTATCATTATATGTCATTAAAACATCCTCATAACTGTGGAAAATCCAAGTATGATATCTTTCAGGGGAATAGCTACAATTGTGCGGCAGAAATCCTTTTAAAATGATAGTTACTAACCAGCACCTTGACTTGCCTTTTTGGCACACACAAAGAAACTTCATTCTTGTATCAATTTTATCCAGCAAATATGTTAATGCCTCCCAGGGTCAGAGACAGTGCTCGGAGCTGGAGATAGTGAGGAGACTAAGGCATCTCTGCCCTCAAGGAGCTCCAAGTCTAGGCGAACAGAGAGAACAGCCAACTAGTAACTGGAATCCATGACGGTAGGCCTGATATAAAGGTAGGCACAAAGAGGTAGAAGATGGTGCGAAAACTGCTTGTTTACAGGCGCCCTGCAAAGCTCGGCATCAATGAATAAATGGAACAGCGGTGTAGGAAGGGCATTCTAAGCAGAAGGAACACCATAGGCAAAACAAAAAACGGTCAGAGGGTCTCGTGTACTCAGGGACCAACAAGCGGGTCTGTGTGACGGTAGGAGAGGGCGTGCCCTGCCCTGTCCCCAGTGTCCTCCGCAGTGTGGCATACAGCAGGCCTCAGCACCTAACCATTGAATGACATGGGCTAGGAAAGGAAGGGCCAGACCAAAAGGTAAAGGTTCTAAAGGACTCTCCACAGTACATTTTTCTGCAGGTATGAGGGAACCACTGAAAGGCATGATCTGATTTGAGTTGAAAGAAAAATCGCTCATGCTGCAGTGCGCTGAGAGGATCAGAGGAGGGCTGCGGGCTGCGGGCTGTAGGAGAGCAGCTGGTTAGGCCATCCCTGCGGTCCGGGTGGGAAGTAGCCTACCCACCCAGACAGAGTGAGAGCCTGGAGGGGGCAGATGGCCCTACCCCCAGTTAAGAAAGTGGGAGGGCGGGATGGTATGTGAACTCAAAATTTATTTTAATTCCCTCGACCAATATGAACTGAACAACTGCTAAGGACGAGGCATCAGGCTAAACGTTATAGGAAGACAAGAGTCCACTCCCCCTCTGCACAGTGCTCACCGCACGCCTGCTATATGCTTTGGGACAGTAGCTCCCAAACCTGGCTCTTCATCGAAGTCACTGGGGAAACAGTTTCGAGATCCTCCCTCCCCCTGTCCTGCAGAGAGTGCAGTTCAGAACAGCTAGGGCGAGATCCTGGAATCCATATATATTCTACACTTCTATTTATTTAGTGAATAAAGAATACATTCATACGATACCAAATTCAAAAGATGTAACAAGTAAATATTGAAAAGTCTCCTTCCCACCTTGTTGCCTGCCTGGCAAGAAGGACTGGCGCCTAGTAGCTGTGTCCCCTCATCACAATCACTCACACACACACTGCCTGTCCTAGCACTTACCACCAAGTGGCTTCTCTCAGTAGCGCGACCAGCCTGGCTCCTTTAACCAGTTTTATCCGTGTGACTGATATGAACACTAAGTAAAACAACGTTGGATCCACAGATCTTATCAGACACACTTTAGGGGTATCCCCCAACTAAAATTAAGACATAAACGAGCTCATGTGTGGGGCCAGTCATTGTCACCAAAAATAGCATTTTTTGACTTAAAAAAGTTAAAGTGACCTCCTCGCTATTTTTCTTCATAGAGAGTAACTTGAAACAGAAGCCTGAGGAGCTCCTGCCGACGGAGAGCCCACAGGAGACTTCAGAAAAAGAAATATAAGTTGGAAGGAAGATGAGATTTAATTTACAAGTAACTTTCTAAAATGTTTTCTAAAAAGCATGTTTCATGAAATAAATTCGCTACTCTCAAAAGTATTACTAAGATGGAACAGATAAGCATGGAAAAGGCTAACAGAAATGTGATAGAGGCAAAAATTTTGGTGAGCCAATATTTTTTATAATTTCTAGTTAGATAACTGTGGTCATCCGATTTATGTTACCATTTTCCTGAGTTTGTTTGTAGCTGTAATAGTTTTTAACAAATACCTTCTAAATACATAAATACATATATGTATATATCTACATGTATATACAAATAAATGCATGACTATATAAATATGTGAACATATGCTATATGTAAATATTTTTTATAAGCACATAAAAATAGGGTAAACATACAATGCAGCATTCAAAACAGGACCCTTGAGAAAGGGGTGCAACTAATAACCGTGCTAGGGAGACAGGTATACATTGGGGCTGCACCCTGGGAAATGAGGATGGATGGTCATCTTGTATTTATATACATAAATATGTAAACAAAATATAAGCCTCTATGTAAATTAAATATAAAATTCTGTATTATAGTTACAAGGACATACGTGTATATTTAATAAAGTATACTTTATAAGCATGTAAAATGCTTTTAAGAATTTTATAAATATATGATAAACACACTTTATATTTATACTTTATATAAATGTCATTGGAAAATTCTAGTTAATTAGCATATTTAGAATCTTCCACTGCTTTTGTCTCCTGCCATACTCCAACCTTATATAATACATACACATACATATAATGCAAAGATGGGCATGTAAATAAGATACTTTTGGTGCTTAAAATGACTTTTCTTCACTTGTTTTTATTTTTTTATTATTATCTTTTGTGTGTGAGGAAGATTGGCGCTGAGCTAACATCTATTGTCAATCTTCTTTTTGCTTGAGGAAACTTGTCACTGAGCTAACATCTGTGCCAATCTTCCTCTATTTTATGTGGGATGCCACCACAGTGTGGCTTGACCAGTGGTACTAGGTCCGCACCTGGGATCCGAACCTGTGAACCCCAGGCTGCCAAAGCACAATGTGCAAACTTAACCACTATGCCACCAGGCTGGCCCCAACTTCACTTGCTTTTAGGATTAACTAGCTTTAAAAAAAATAAAATAAATCTATGCTCCTGGTAAAATATTCAAACAGTACAGAAGGGCATTAAGGTACAAAGGAGAAGGCCCCTTTTCCATCTTAGCCTCCTCAACCCCACCATCAACACACCCAGCACACACACACTTCCTACCCAGGGGTGCCTTTTCTCATAATTCGGAAGATTTCTACATTCTATCTGTATAAAGCTGTAGGAGAAAGACTGTATTTTCCTTCTTGAAGTTCTTCTGTCCCGGCCCCAGCCCCCTGCCTGGCAGTTCCTTACACTTCCTCATCTCAGGTGACACCCTATGCGGGCAGCCTTCCTCCTCCGGAATTTTGAGGTTGGGGCTCCTGCCTTTATCATGGCGTGTCGTGTCATGCATTTGTTCACATCTGCCTTGCCTCATTTGCTTCTTGAGTGCAGGACAGTCTAATCTTTGTGCCCTCTGCACCTGCAGGTACAATGTCTTGCTGATGATCCTGACAGGGAGCAGAGAGGAACTGGCTCCTTGGACCCCGAATGGCAAATGGCTTAAATTATATATTGTGCTTAGAGAGGTTCCTGATTTAAAGCTTTAAAAATTAGACCTAGATGAACCCAAATTCTACTCTACGGAGAGCGAAATTACTAGGAAAATAAAATTGATTCCTGGGGCCGGCCCTGTGGCCAAGTGGTTAAGTTTGCATGCTCCACTTTGGCAGCCCAGGGTTTCGCTGGTTCTGATCCTGGGCATGGACATGGTACCACTCATCAGGCCATGCTGAGGTGGCATCCCACATGGCAGAACTAGAAGGACCTGCAACTAGAATATACAGCTATGTACTGGGGGGCTTTGGGAAGAAGAAGAAGAGGAAAAGAAAAAAAAGATTGGCAACATAGGCTCAGGTGCCAATCTTTAAAAAAAAAAATTGATTCCTGTCTACTTTTTTCCTAGTTTCCTTCCAATATGGCAGTTCTCAAAGTGTTTCATGGAACTCCGGGTCTCCCAATACCCTTTCAGCAGGTTTGTGGGGTCAAAACTTTTTTCAAAATAATGCTAAGATGTCATTTGCCTTTTTGTTTTTGTTTTTTTTACTATGCTGACATGTATTAACGGTGCAAAAAGCAATGACGGGTGAAACGGCTGGCACCTTAGCGGGCATCAAGCCAGTAACACTCAGATCAAGGAGTAAAAATGTTTAATTTTCTTAAATCTTGACTCTTGAATCTCTATCTTTCTATTCTTCTGTGTGATAAAATGGGAGGTAAACATAGAACGATTCCAGCACCTACTGAAAACCACGACTGGCTGCCTTGAGGAAGAGCACTTGGGTGGTTCTTTGAATCATGAGCTGAACTCACCAAATTGTTCATGGAACACCATTTTTACTTGAAAGAATGACTGATAGACAAACTATGGTTATTCAGGTGTGGGTATTTGGGTGAATGCTTTCTTACAAATGAACTAAGTGAGTTTGTCATTTCAAGAAAGTAGCCTTTTTGTTGCCAGTAATAATATTCAATTTTCAAGGGAAAATTAGAATTTTGGAAAATTTGTATCCACCACCATAAGCTCAACACTTCTCAATATGTACATAATGATTTTTCTAATGAGGTTGGTGGTGATACTAAGGAGTGTGATTTTTGGATACTGTGTAACAAATCTGAAAGATATACAAAGCCCAGTGAACCAATATTTTCCCAATGACCAATGCATATTATAAAAAAATCATGCATGGGCTAAAAGGTGTAAGAGAGACTAATGGATTTAAATGTAACAGAATACAGGGGCCGGCCCGGTGGAGTAGCAGTTAAGTTTGTGTGCTTCACTTTGGTGGCCCAGAGTTCGCCAGTTCGGATCCCAGGCATGGACCTAGCACTGCTTATCAAGGCATGCTGTGGCAGGCATCTCACATATAAAGTAGAGGAAGGGGGGCACAGAGTAAGCTCAGGGCTAACGTTCCTCAGCAAAAAAGAGGATTAGTGGCAGATGTTAGCTCAGGGCTAATCTTCCTCAGATAAATAAATAAATAATAAGGAAAGCTCTTCCAGTAATATATATACAAAATGAATGTAACAGAGTATGGAAAGTTCATTGATACAGTTTTAGATTTCATGTTGCAACTAATCTTTCAGAAATAACCACTTGTCAAGTTTTGGTGTAGTATCAAAGAATATTGACAATTAATTGAAAAAGCTATTAAAAATATGTCTCCCTTTTCCAACTGCCTATTTGTGTGAGGCTGGATTTTCTTTATACACTTCAGTTAAAACAACATATTGCAATTGAATGCAGAAGGAGATATGAAAATCCAGCTGTTAAGCCAGATATTAAAGATATTTGCAAAAACGTAAAACAATACCACTCTTCTCACTATATTTTCTACTTTAGAACATAATTTTTAAATAAAATGTTATTTTATTATACAACTGGGTTTATCAGTCATTTTTCATGAGTTAACAGTTTTTTAAATTCTCATTTTTAATTTTGAATATGGTAAATATCGACAGACATAACTCAGATAAACAAAAGCTCTTTGGGTCCAAAATGATTGACAAGAGATTAAGGGGGTGGTCTTTGGACCAAGAAGTTTGAGAACTGCTGCTCTAACCTATAAGAAAATATTCAAAATTATTTTTAAAGAAATTATTTTAAAATTATTCCACTCAATAAAATAAGTCATATATAGGCCTAAAAGAACTGAAGTCAGAGTGAATGAAAGCGTGGTAAAACGCAAAGCAGAAATCCCCAGGAGACATTAGGAGCGCAGGAGAGAGGGAAATACAGAGACACACCCAGTTAGAGACCTGTACTCTACAGCCGTCTTTAATTTTCCAAGCTGGAAGTGATTGCTGTCTCATGTTTGAGCATGGCTGAAAAACCAGGTGGGCCCACAGACCCTCCACGTTTGACTCAGGTGAAATTTGTTCCTTGATTTGCAGGGCTGCCGTCCACATCCTGTTGTATGTCTATCACTGCTTGCATCCTTGCCTTCCTCATCTCAAAGGTTAGCTTGGTCACGGTATTCTCTTTGCCCAGATAATTCTCTCCATTCATCTACTAAATTAGCCCCCTCCCCATCATATCCTGGAATCTGCTTTTAGGCACTGGTTCACTCATTCTGGGATGGAACTTGAAAAAAGGGAAACGATTCTTGGCAATGATCTGACCAACTAATTCCCAGTATTTCCAGCTTATTTAAATCTCCCCTCCTCTGATTAGTCAAGGCAACTTTACCGGAATACACAGCAGTCCAAAAATTTAAAATGATAGCTGCCATATAAACTTTTAACTCTCACAATGCAAAAAAATACTCTTGAAAAATCTCTTAAAGTTGTTAACCAACACACCTATTACGTAGAACTTTATAGGGCTTGTTAATAAAATTTGACGTACTTTTATTAGTAAATCTTTAAGACATGACAGAGAGTGAAGTAACCCTGCCCAGTCTACACTCTTACTGCGAACTAGAAGTCACTTACTCAAGACCACGCTCCAGGGCCAGAATGAACCCCACTGTCTAAAGCTTCTGCCCAGAGAAAAGGCCCCGAGCCCTCTACAGCACCTGGGCCACTCAATTCCTAGCATACATAGTGACAAAACTGAGCCGACAGAGCAACTTTCTCCTCCCTCCACCACAAGTCTTCTTCTATAAAAAGAAACTTAGAACCCAACTAAAAAAAGAACGCACTGTATTAGGAGACTGACCTGGAATCCTGCAAAAGTCAAACTCACAGTCCATTTCGGGCCAGTGGGGGGCCCATATCGATGTGGAATTTACTGCACGGGTCCGCTCTTCGCTGTGGAAAGTGTTCCGACAAAGGAACTGCTTCAGGGACTCGGCCCCCCCATCCCACACACACCTCTGCAGTACGTTTTCTCATAGCCGTGTTGGGTGACTACGTCAGACCGCCTCACGTGACGGGGTGTTAGAAACAGACGCATCAGATCTCGAAAACAGATTACAAAACAGAAGCCCTTTATAGAGTTCAGCTGTGTCTAGGAAAAGGCAAACCCTCTTGATTTGCCTTCTAAATGCAGCCCGAAAGGGGAGAGAGGAGCTGCCTTTATCAGACTTTAATGCATTTAAACGATCAGATTCAAGAAGGCGTAGCGTGGCGAGGGAAGTTTGCTTTTTCAACGGAAATTTGGGCCGTTTGCAAGGCTAACATCAGGACGCTGCCAGTGCCCTCAATACACAGAGGGTGGCTTCAACAACCTTACCTGAATGCATTATTTTGCAAAGGTAAACACTGGGTCTCTGGATTTGTAGCTGCGTGCACACAGATCGTGAGAATGAGTATTATCAGATTCACGGGTGAAGCAATGTGCCCAGTTAAAGACTTCAGGCTGCTTGTTTGGAAAGATGAAAGGAGGAAAAGGTCCGTGGTGTTTTTTTTTTTTTCTTTTTGAAACACAATAGTATTTCAGGGTAGCCCAGGCCTCTTGGGTTCATCTCAAGATCAAGCTTGCCCAGACACCTGCTTGCTCAAGAAACCTGGGAAACAGGCTTAGAGAATTTCTCTCTGAAGCCCTGGAGTGCTGTGTCCATTTCTGTCTCAACCAAATTCCACTGACACTCAGAGCCTCTACTGAGCATCATTTTTAAATTGGAAGGCATTTTTAACTTGAATGCTATGGGGACCAAAATGCAAGTGACCAAAATGACCAGGACAGGATTCCTGTCCCCTGGAACTTCTCATTTGAGGGATGAGCTGATTTCAAAAGCCAACTACCATTTTCTTGTGAACCTAAAGGGCCAGCTGATTTCATGGCCCTGTTCCTCTCCTCTGACTGCTACCTCTCGGGGAAGGCAGAGGGTAGAACCGTTGTACATCCTGACTTTGGAACAAGAATGCAGCTAGCTAGTGGCAAGGCTGGGCTATCCTGCAATGGACAGAGCACCAACTGCTGCTTTGGTGTTAAACTGTCTAAATCCACCTCCCCATTGCACCCTCGCTCTCCACCCTCAGCTCCCTCTGCACCCTGGCTTTCTGGGGACAACTGCAAGACAATGAATCACAGTTTACGTGGGTTCTTTCTGGATGGACCAGAAACTGTGCAGAGAGGAGTGGACGAGCTGACTCACACGAAAACCACCAAGCACAGTGCCTAGCACACAGTAGGGGTTCAATGACTGTGGGCTGGAGTCAGCTTGAGAAGTGTGTCCTGCCCCCTCGCGGCCACGGAGGGACCTGCTTATGCAATCCACTCTTCACGCAGCCCACAGGACGACCTTTTAAAGGCACAAATGAGATCAAGTCAAGGCCTCCTTAAAACCCTTCAGTGTCTTTCTCCTGGTGTTAGGATAAAATCCAGAGCCTTCCTTGTGACCTGCCAGGCCCTGCACTGTCCACGAGTCCTGTCCACTCTCCCCAGACTCACGGCTCCCTTCTGCCCAGCCCTCTGTGCTCACCACATGGGCCTCCTTTGGCTTACTCTGCCTGCCAAGCCTCTTCCAGCCTTGGAAGAGCCTTTAAACTCACTGGTCCTGACACCGCCCAGGGCTGACTTTCATGCTTCGGGCCCAGTCAACATCACTCAGAGGGACCACCGATCTCTCTATTTGCTCCTGCCTCTGCTTGCCCTCATGTAACCTGGTTCATTTCCTTCCCACTCCTTCTCTCAACATGCAACTCCCCCCCCACCACCGTGTTTGCCTGCTTGTTCACTATCCACTCTGCCCACCAGAAAGTAAGCTCCAGAGGACAGGACCTTACGCGTCCTGTTCACTGTGACAGCTCCAGGCCCCAGCATGCAGTGGGCACTCAGGAACTGTTTGTTGAGTGACTAAGTGAAGTGACTAGGCACATAATACACGAACGAGGCTCACCCTGATTAAAAAGCTCCTGGCCCCACGGCCCTGCACCCCGATCCCCTGTGCCCTGCTCTGCTTTTCCTTTTCCACGGCACTCAGAAAGTTCCACTACGCCACACAATTTACTCCTTAATCCTCACTGTCCATCTGCCTGCTGGAAGTTCAGCACTGCAAGGGCAGCAATCTTTGATTTTCTTCACAGATGCATCTTAAACACCTAGAACAGTGCCTGACACGTAGCAGGCCCTCAGTAAACATTCATTTATGAAGCGAACAATCCGTAAATAGATACATGTTCATAAATCACCATTATATACGGACAGGCACCATAAATGTTGCCAATTACAATTTTCATCTGTTTGAACTTCCTCAATTTTGAATCAAATTGCTTTTATCTGATCCATTTCAGGTTGTGGAGCACTTCACTTACTAATTTATTTCACCTCCTTCCCAATCCTGCGAGGCGGGCAGGTAGATTAGTGATACCACTACATACTCACAGGGTTAAACGAATTAACAGAGTCAGTGCTCAGGGTTTGGAAGCTGACATTACCATCCCACCGGAGAGCTGTGGAAACCGAGCCTGGAGAATGGGGCTGCTCACGGCAGAGCTGTGATGTCTGACAGGGCACCGTGCTCAGCCACCTCCCTCCCTGTGCGCACACAGCGCGAGGGGAGGCAGAGCAGCTGACCTGCCCCATCCAGCACAAAATGGCCCCGCACCGAGTCCGCACTGCAGGCATGTTGTACAGGATCACCACTGCAGAAGCCTGCAGCAGGAACAGATCCAGGCCGAGACTCAAGAGCCATGGCTGTCAGGGGCAGCCGGCCTGGGTCACATGCCAAGAAGTCCCCAAGAAACACTGCCTGTCACGAAGCAGAGTGCACCAGAAAGCTCCCCAAGAAGGGGAGCTGGGGATGGGAGCAAAGGCAAGCAGATCCCTGACCAGGGGCAGCAGTTACCAGGGCAACCCAAGCATCGTCAGACGATGGGCCTTGGGCCTGGGCCCTTCCCGTGCTGTACAGCAGCATGGTACAGTAGGCATTTTCAAGGTGCCACTGGACCCAGTCAGTCACAGTGTCCGCCCCACAGCCCAGAACTTGCTAAATGCCTGACACCAGAGCCTTTACACACACCCACATGTCCCAAACTTAGAATTTTTAGTACTAAAAAAATTGATTTGTAAAAGGTTGCTGCCAATTCAGTCCAAACACTCAGGAGATAAAGCCAAGGATCTATTTGCACAGCCAGGATGTGCTAACTTGAAGTGAATGCTTGAGGAAGGGAGTTTTCATTTGTCCCCCCGCTCCGAGCACTGAGATTTACTCTCTCACTACAGCGCGGGATGATGCAGTCTCAGGGACCATGAGGCTCATGCTGCGACAGTGGGTATGAAGCCTCAAGGGAGCAGCAGGGGAACAGAATCTCCAGGGTGGGGCCAACTCTGGGTATGAGCCTCTCCATGACAGAGGGAAGGGTCTCCTGCCAACACTGAGCTGAGACGGGGCCAGTGAGGCTCATCCAAACCCCAAGTCCAAATTCCAGTATCTTTACCAAGGCTTATAAAGTCCTCTGTGATTCGCCCTCACTTCCTGCCACTCTAACCCACACCAGCCTTCTTTCTGTTTCTTGACTAGGCCTAGGACCTTTCACCTCAGGGCCTTTGCACATGCTGCTTCTGCAGCCTAAAGTGCCCTTCTAGCCCAGGCAGCAACCTACCCTGGTCTCCATCCAACAATCCTCCCCCTCAACCAGGTTCATCTGTCATGTACTCTCAGCATACTTTCTTTCATAGTGCTTATTATGATTGTAATTAAGTATTATCTGACAAATGTGTGCCTTTACCACAGAGTATAAATTCTGTGAGGGCCGAGCCTGTTTACCATAGTCTCCCTAGCTCCCAGCACTGCATTTGGCACAACATAACAGGTGCTAAAAAAAACCTTTATTAAATAAATGCAAAAACTAAAGCACCCAAACACCAAGTTTCTAGAGCCCACCATACTGGCACTGTTACCAAGCTTTCTGCATCTGGTGTTACGTCGACGCACACTGCCCTGCTAGTTGTCATCCATGCTAAAAGAGGGAAATACATTTGTTGAACACAAAAAAGCCAAGAAAGTTTTCTGACATGGTAAAAGGAAAAAAAAAGCACACAAAAAGCAAATCAACACTGGCCTAAAGCGGAGCTGGGAGGACAAGCCAGGGCCGTGCCCTGCCCACAAAGTTGATACCGCTCCGACAAGTTAAAACACAGAAACACAGCTTCGAAACACCGAAAAATCGCTTACTACTACTGCTCTGGCTCTAAGGAAGGAAAAGAACAATATTTCAAGCTCCACTGACTTGCTTTCTTCTGTTAAACACAACAGGCCCAGAATGGAGCTGCTTATGCTAAGCCCCACGTCACAAAACCGAAACTTAACTTACTGACAGCTTTGGGTCTCCCAGAAATGGAATCTTAAACCAGTCACACTCATCCAGGAAGCAACTGATCAGCATCCGGCAGGAAGTCTGCCTGACAGACCCCTGCCGTCCCCTGTGAGGAAAGTCACCTTGCAATAACCAACCTGCCTTTCTGCCCCATATAACTTCCTCCTTCTGCTCCCCCTGCCTCTCAAATCTCCTGGCTCCTATAGCTCTTTGGGGCTCCTTTCCGTCCTAAATGGGATGTTGCCCGATTTGGATCGCTGAACAAAGCTGATCAGATCTTTACATTGACCCAGTTGAATCTCCTTTAGCAGTTTAAACCCCAGGGATCCGGCCTTTGTCTCCCAGTGCTTGGACTAAACTGCAACAAACTTTTAAAACTTAACTTTCTTTTTAAATACCAAAAATTTAAGTTGTGGCCATGTGGGTGCAGCACAGGCCTCGGTGCTGGTGCTGGTGCTGGCGAAGGGCTTTGCCTCGGCACGCAGTCTCCCTTCCCCACTCCCAGGGGCTCCACTCTCCGTAATCACTTTTCACTTCCTCCTGATGTCTTCTCCTCCGCTCAGCCTCCTCTCAGGAGAAGCCAATCTGGAGAAGGTTCTGGGCTGAGAAGCATGGCTGGGCCGTGGCCTGCTTCTGTGTCACAGAACAGTGGCAGCTTGTGCTTCCCGGTGCTCCGACAAGTGACCCACGGCAAAGGCATACACAGCCCTTCTCCCCCATGAGTCAACCAAAAGGAAGAAAAAGGCACCGCAGGGCCTGCTCACAATGGTGGCCCTCAGCAGAGCTGCACGTCAGACTCACCTGCGGAGCCAAAAAGACTATGAACAGCGCGACACCAGGGATGCCGACTCGGCTTTGGGAACAGAGTCTGAGCAGGCATGCTTTTTGCACCCTGCTGAGCATCACTGAGTTCTGTTGTGCACATGAGCTGCCCAGGACTTCTCGTCACACCATGAACAGATCACTGTGTCTGCTGCTTGTGTCGGAGCCCCCGTGGGCAGTCTTCCTGAGGTTGCCTTAGAGTGACACTGACATCTCATCACAAACGAGTCAATGTCCCCAACGTGACTTATCCATTTGGCAGCAGGAAGTTCACCTAAATATGCCAGGCACGTGCTGTGTCCCTAACACCTAACAAGCCCATCCATGTGCCAAGGACCATTCCACACACTCCATAGACAGCATCCTGATTAAGCCTCACAGCAACCTTATTTTGCAAATGACAAAACGGAGACTCAGAGAGGCTCGCTGAGCCTGGCTAACTTGACCAAGGTCATTTAGCCAGTGAGCGGCAGAGCTGGGATTCAAACTCAGGGAGTACGACTCAAAAACCACACTCTCCATTTTAGGGTCAGGCGCACCAAGAAATAAAGAACTTAGCTTTTCCACATCTTTCTTGGTATCAAAGGATCATATGCTCATGACTCTAGCCTACTCCCCAGTGTCTGTGGGTGCTTGGCAAACAGTAGCCCAGACGTAATTATGGCTGCCATGTGTGGGGGACAGGTCATTGCCCTGTGGGATGCTGTGGGGGTACAGGGAGGCTGACAGCCAGCCCATGCTCCACTTGGCCAGGTACATACCTAGTGAGGGCTGCATCCCCCTGCCAGAAGGGGGCCATTTCTCTGATATGCACAGCCGCCATATGGACCACCAGGCAGCCCTGGGGTGAACATTAAAGGGAAATTCAAAATTTTCCATAACATTGTACTTTTAAGTATTTTCTTTCTTTTTTTTTTTTTTGAGGAAGATTAGCCCTGAGCTAACTACTGCCAGTCCTCCTCTTTTTTGCTGAGGAAGACTGGCCCTGAGCTGACATCGTGCCCATCTTCCTCTACTTTATATGTGGGACGCCTGCCACAGCATGGCGTGCCAAGCGGTGCCATGTCCACACCCGGGATCCGAACCGGCAAACCCCAGGCCACTGAGAAGCAGAACGTGCGAACTTAACAGCTGCGCCACTGGGTCGGCCCCTTAAGTATTTTCTTTAAAAAAAAATGTAAACTTCAAAGTAATATATGGCACTCATAAACGTTATCATTTTGATTTTGATCCACTTCCATTTGAAGGTAATATTTATCAAATGCCTACCATCCACCAGTTATTGAGTGTAAAACAGGGGCTACCACAAAAAGGGGGCATAATGGGGAGATTAAAGCTACTGAGCACTATATTAGTCCATTCCTGAAACAGGGCTCTTAGGATAAGCAGACCACGTC